TAAACAGCAGTTAGTATTTCCTATCTGCAGTTTTCAGATGGACCCTCTACATGGTGGAGAATAATAAAGTTACTATTAATAAAGTAATAAAGTTACTATTAACATTTGAGTAACCACATGAAATTCTTTGTTTTATTGCAACTTTTCTGTAAGCCTGAAATGACTTCAAAAGTTTGTCACTGCAAAAAACATGTGCTGGATAAAGCATGAAGCTTGCTCCAGCATCCCCTGGGGGCTTGGGGCTGATGGGTAGGTGATTGGAGCTGTGATCAGAGAAGGTGGAGCTCTGCCCAGTGAGGAGCTGGTTCCTCAATGAAGGGTGTCCCAGGCTGGGGCACTGGTTTTGTCAGGCAGGATGTTCCCTTAAGGACCTTCTCTAGTGCAGCTCCAGCCTGGGTCTGGGTGGGGCCTCTGGTAGCCAAGCTGCCAGGTGAGCCTGATGTGCCTCTCTCCTGTGAGCTACACATGGGCAAGACTCATCACCAGTGTGATTTATTTTGTTTTGCTTTGTTTCATTTTGTTATTTAAATTAGAAACAAGATTGTTTTACATGTCAATCCCAGTTCCCTCTCCCTCCCCTCTTCCCCTGCCCTCCACTAACTCCCTACCTATCCCATTACCCTTTCTGTTCCCCAAGGAGGATGAGGTCTTCCATGGGGAATCTTCAGAGTCTATTCTATCCTTTGGGATAGGGCCTAGTCCCTCCCCGGTGTGTCAAGGCTGAGAGAGTATCCCTCTATGTGGAATGGGCTCCCAAAGTCCATTCCTATGCTAGGGATAAGTACTGATCTACTACCAGAGACCCCATAGATTTCCGAGGGCTCCTCACTGACACCCACATTTGTGGGGTCTGGATCAGTCCTATGCTGCTTTCCCAGCTATCTGTCTAGAGTCCATGAGCTCCCCCTTGTTCAGGTCAGCTGTTACTGTGAGTTTCACCACCCTGGTCTTGACCCCTTTGCTCATCACTCCTCCCTCTCTGCAACTGGATTCCTGTTCAGCTCAGGGTTTAGCTGTGGGTGTCTGCCTCTACTTCCATCAGCTGATGGATGAAGGCTCTAGGATGGCATACAAGTTAGTCATCAAGCTCATTATCAGGGGAGGGCATTTAAGATAGCCTCTCCACTGTTGCTTAGATTGTTAGCTGGTGTCATCCTTGTAGGTCTCTGGAAATCTCCCTAGTGCCTAATTTCTCTTTAAACCTATAATGGCTCTCTCTATTATGGTATCTCTTATCTTGCTCTCCTCTGTTCTTCCCCCCTCCACTCAACCTTCCTGCTCCCTCATGTCCTCCTCTCCTCTCTTCTTCTCCCCTTCTCATTCTCCTAGATCCCTCTCCCCTCCCCCCATGCTCCCAATTTGCTCAGGAGATCTTGTCCCTTTCCCCTTCTCCAGGGGACCATGTATGTCTCTCTTAGGGTCCTTCTTGTTTCCTAGCTTCTCTGGCGGTGTGAATTATAGGCTGGTAATCCTTTTCTCTATGTCTAAAATCCATATATGAGTGAGTACATATCATGTTTGTCTTTCTGTGTCTGGGTTACCTCACTCAGGATGGTTTCTTCTAATTCCATCCATTTGCCTAATTTCAAGATTCCATTGTTTTCTTACCACTGAGTAGTACTCCATTGTGTAAATGTACCACATTTTCTCTATCCATTCTTCAGTTGAGGGGCATCTAGGTTGCTTCCAGTTTCTGGCTATTACAAATAATGTTGCTATGAACATCGTTGAACAGATGTCCTTGTTGTATGAATGTGCTTCTTTTGGGTATATGCCTAAGAGTGGAATTACTGGATCTTGTGGTAGACTGAGTCCCATTTTCCTGAGGAATTGCCATACCAATTTCCAAAGTGACTATATGAGTTTGCACTCCCACCAGCCGTGGAAAAGTGTTCCCTTTCTCCACATCCTCTCCAGCATAAACTGTCATTGGTGTTTTTGATTTTAGCCATTCTGACAGGAGTAAGATGGTATCTCAGAGTTGTTTTGATTTGTATTCCCCTGCTGATCTCCAAAATTTACAAAGAACTCAAGAAGCTAATTTCCAAAACACTAAATAATCCAATTTAAAAGTGGGGTACAGAACTAGATAGAGAACTCTTAATAAGGGAGTCTAAAATGGCTGATAGACACTTAAGGAAGTGCTACTGGGATAATAAAATAAAATTTAAAAAACCCAAAGCCAGCCGGGAGGTGGTAGCACATTCCTTTAATCCCAGCACTTGTGAGGTAGAGGAAGGCGGATCTCTGTGAGTTCAAGACCAGCCTGGTCTACAAGAGATAGTTCCAGGACAGCCTCCAAAGCCACAGAGAAACCCTGCCTCGAGAAAAAAAAAGAAAGAAAGAAAGAAAAAAGAAAAGAAAGTGCTCAACATCCTTAGCCATCAGGGAAATGCAAACCAGTGTGATTTGGTCCAGGCAGCTGCATTTTGAAAGAACAGGGGAGGTGACTGTCATCACTCCTCCCAAGAGCCAGATGAGTCCAGACACCACCTGTAAATGAAGTGTAATGCCTAGCTCCTGTGGTGGGTGCATCAAACAGGGATATGGCCAAACCAATGGCTTTTCTCCTTGGCTCTTATTTGGGCAGCTGGGTCCTGGTCCCTGGAGAGCAGCCCTGGGATTGTCCACCAAAACAAATTTGTTTCATTAGAGTTTTCTGAGGTACTGTCTCATGTAATCCAGATTGATCCCCAACTTTTGTAGCAAGAATGACCCTGAACTACTGATTCTCCGGTCCCCAGTTTCTGGGTGCTATGATTAGAGGTGTGGAAGACCACACTCAGCTTATGTGACACTGAGGGTTGGACCTAGGGCCCCCTCCTGCATGCTAGGCAAGCTTCCACAGCAGAGCCCCAGGCCCAGCCTCCTCTATCAATCACATATAATCATTCTCACGCCCGCCCACGCCCACGAAGCACCTGCCCTAATCCACTTAAGCCTCGAGCAGCCTACGGTTCCTTTGTTGGTGACCGCTGTTATGAAGGCCCTTCCTCTCAGGGGGGTCCCCATTCCTCTTGGAGGGGCACATTGTTGAAAGTTGCCAGCCCAGGTCCTCCTTACTCAAAGCCAAGGTACAGTGACACGCGTTGCAGGGACAGGAATTTACCCAGCAAGGGCTCAGCCCCTTTCTGGGTAGGAGAAGGGCAGAGACATTCTGGGTAGTGTCCCAGAATTCTGGCCTGGCCAGCCAATTCCTCGGTCCCCTTCTTACCTCCACCCACTCTCTTCACCCGCCCTCCTTCAGCCTAGAATGTGGCTAGAATTTTAAGGACCTAGAGAAAAATAGGTCACAGGGAGGTGCCATGGCTTGTTCCCTAGAGAGAGGGATTGGCCCAGGATAACTGCAGCATTCCTGAGGCCACCAAAGAAATAAGGGGGTGGAGTCTGGGACCTCAGTGAGACCACCCTCTGTTGACCAGGCCTCCTATCCTCACCTATCCTTCACCCATGCTCAGAGGCTAATTCCAGTTAATTCTGGGCTTGACAGACCAGAGCCAGGCTTTAGTGAACCCTAGGAATTAGGTTCCGAGTCAGGACCCAGAGGAGTCACAGCTGGCACCAGGGAAGACAGGCCAGCTAGGATGCTGTTGCTGTTATGAGCCACCAGAAAGTCCTCAGGCTTCCCAGACAGGGGTCAGCCAGGCTTTCTGCCTCCTGCTCAGAGAGCCTTGCAGGTGAATCCAACAGCTACTTCTTTGGCCTAGAAAAGAGGTTCCAGCAGGAAAACACCAGCCAGGTGTGTGGTACAGGCCTGTTAGGCCAGACATTCAGTGGACTCACCCAAGAAGATCACAAGTTTAATGCCCTTTAGATCTGAGTTCAAGGCCAGCCTAGGCAACTTAATGAGACACTGTATTGAAATATAATTATTTAAAAAGGACAGGGAAATATAGCTCAGTAGTAGAACACTTGCCTAGCATTGTGAGGCCCTGGGTTCAATTCCCAGTATCCCCAAGTAAGAAAGAGGCTCCCAAAAACTGTGTCCCCAGTACCTTGCAGCAGGCACATCTGAATTTCTGGTCTTTGCCAGCCTTCCTGGACCCCACAGGTCAGCTCCTCTCTGGAGCTTTCAATCAACTTCCCAAAACAGATGAGTTTTCCAATTCTCAGAGGAGGCAGGAGGTTGACAGAAAACCCAAGCTGGACAAGAGATGAGACTCATCCCCAACCTTAGGAATGTCCTCACCTCCAGCCCACATCCTCCCAGGAACTAGCTACCCCATCATGGCCAAGGTTCCCCCAGCTTCCAGAGTCCTAGACCTTCCCAAGGCTGCCCACACATGCCCATGCCTGCCTCTTGGCCTCATTTTCTACCTCTAAGTCTGGTTCCCTGGCACGGGTAAAAACCTACTTGCTTGGGAGAAACACCTTGATACCCAAACTAAACACCTCACAAAATAGCCTCGGGTTACTTTTAAGCATAATAGACAATTTGTATGCAAAAAAATATTGTAGATTAAAATGGAGGAATCAGAAGTAGTCAGAATGGATGAGAGAAATTAGAAGTTGAATTACACGCGGTTGAGTCCACCTTAGGAAACCAAGATCTGTTTTTACTCTCCCCTCGAGGCCAAGCACTCAGGGAATGCTTGTGTTTTCCTGGCTCCCCTCCATCTCTGTCACAACTATTGAGCACATGACATGTTTTGTTTTGTTTTTTCCATTAACAGATCTTTATTGCTCTTTTAAAGTAATTGAATTATTGACACAGGCTCCATGAGATTCAAGGCAAGTGACAGGAGGAACACCATTGTACAGTTGGGAGGACTCATGGGGAGGAATCCCAGAGCAGCTGTCACTCTCCTCCAAATCATGGGAGCCTTAGCCAGGACCAGGCTCAGCTGAGCAGGCTTGGGGATCTGAAGGTGACTGAGTCACACCTCAGGGGGATATATTATTCCTAATGCCAGCCTTGAAGGTCTTTGTAGACCCTGCTCTAGACCACCAAGCTGCCCTCCCTCCACCACCAGGGGCAAGGTAAAGCTCCTGCAGAAGGAAGGAAGTTGAGAACAAGTATAAAGACTGGCCAGGCCCAATGGCACCCTCTGAGGACATCTGCTCCCCACAACACAAGCACCCCCCACCACCACCACCAATGCTGGGGGAAAGGAAAGGGATTTCTTAATGGGAGCCCTCCAAGGGCTCCTCCTCAATGAGCTCCAAGTCGAACTCTTCTTCCAAGGGCCCCCCAACAGGCAGCATTCGGAATTTCTTCCCCTTCAGAGTACAGGTGCGGTGCTGGAAGTCCAGAACAGCGTTGTGGTCCTGCAGGACATCAGTGCCAATAATGGCCTCTTCTGCACTTGCGTTGGCCACCAGAAACTGTGCACTCAGCTTCAGCTTGCCCAGGGTCACTTCTGTGTCCCACACACCCAAGATCTTCATCTCTGCTCCATTGGCCACTTTGACCACATTTTCAAAGGGCCGAAGGGTATCCAGGTCACCATCAGTGACCTCCTCCCATAAACTTGGGTGGACCACAGATACCTGAGCACCAGAGTCCACCAGGAACCTCACAGGCACGGGGCCAATCTTCCCTTTAAGGTAGTAGCCCTTACCCATGCTGTTGGCAAACAAAATCTCTCTGGGTTTCTGACTGTGGGCTGTCCCAGAGCCCCCAAAGGCCCTCAGAAGAGCTTCCTTCACAGTACTATAGTCACCCTGGGCCTGGGAATTGAGTCCATTGTAGACATCCAGGGCATCTCCTCTGAGTGACTCTTTGAGGAACCTCAGTTTGGTGGCATGGTCCCAGTGGTTAAGGTCGTCAATGACTTCAAATCGGTGCAGCCAAAGGCTGGGGGCTACATTAGCCCCATTGAAAGGTTCTGGGATGAAGGCATGCTCCCGGTGGCCTTCCTGGCTTCTGGCTCTGCTGGTGGCCATCCCTCTGGTCGTCTCTGGAAGTTCAGCAGCAGCACAAGCCAAGTAAAGAAAGGCACAGAGCAGTGTGGGCGCAATCACGCTGGAGAGCAAGGCCTCTGTCGACAGAGCTGTGTACTTGCCCAGCCTGGGCAAGTTGAAGGGAGCAGGTACAGGGTGTCTGGCTGGCTGCTGGACACAGAGGCAGGCTGTCTGTGTTCTGCTTGTTCTGCACAGGGCCTTTTTGATGCCCAGCCTGGGCCCCCAGGGCTCCTCATTCTCCTTTGTTCTAGAAGCTCCACCCCCTGGTCCCGCCCTCCTGCCAGCATCTTGCCTGACTAGCAGGATGAGTGCCTCACCCTGGTATCCATCCACATGACACCAGCTAGCCCACCTAGGGAGAAAGGCAGTCTCAGTCAGCTGACGGGTCTGTGGGACCCTCCCCAGCCTGTGGCTCAGAATAACCCAGATGAGGACACAGATGTGATGGCATTCCGGTGTTTGTCATTCGCCAGAGAAGGGGAGAGAGGAAGCAGGTCTCCATCTACTTCAGAAGAGGGGACTCCTTTAGCCTCACCTCTTTACTGCTTGGGGTGGTCAAGAGAAGGCACTTGCACTTATTTATTGATCTCTCTGTATGCACCGATCTTACTGTATGTATTGATCTCACTGTGTGTACCCATCTCACTGTATGTATTGGTCTCTCATTGTATGAGCCACTGAGGTGACTCATACATTCTAAATTAAGTATGGATCCTGTAAGATTCCCTGGAGAGAGAAACAGAGGGGATTCCAGAGTCCAGAAACCTCAAGTCTATCATGGGTCTCTATCTCCTGCCTTTCCACCTATCCATCCATATCTCTATCCACCTGTCAGTCTCCATCATCTACACATCACATATCTATCATCTATCATGTATTTACCTGTCTGTCTGTCTCCAACAGCTATCAATCATACACCTACCTATTTATATCTACTATTTACCTATCTGTATCTTCACCTGTCTCTAAGATCCATCAATCATATATCTATCTACCTACATGTATCTCTATCATCTATCATCTCTTTATTTTGCCTTTTTTGAGACAGGGTCTTCCTGTGTAGTCTTGGCTAACCTTGAACTCAGAGCTGTTCTGCCTCAGCCTCCTGAGTACTGGGATCACAGAAGTATATCCTCACAAGCATGGACAGAAATTGTTTCTGAGTTGGGACAGTCCCCCATACATAATAATTTTTTTATAAATGTATTCTACTGTGGTCATTTTCTTTACCAGCCACTCCTAATCAGAGTCAGCCCACTGTGGGGCAAGCCTCAGCCTATGTGTTCATGAAGACCCAGAAGTAGGTGGGCACAAATATTGAACTTCAGTCCAGTAGCAGACTCCAGGTCTGAGTGAGCCCCTTGCCCAGCCCCTGGAGTACAGTATCTTCCCTCCCTAGCCTTCTTTCTTGCCTTCTAGGAGCCTCTTCCCCCCAGTGCTCCAACCCTTCTCTCAAATACACCTCATCTGAAAAGCTATCGAGAATCTCGCTAATGTGTTCTCAGTGGGAAACACCTGCAGTGTGGGGCATGCCCCTGGAGAGGGCCTGGGAGGCTCTGGCCAGAAGAGATTATCATGGTGACACATTACCCTCTCCACTGATGGGCTCGTGACAATCTTGTTTGTTCCCCCAACAACCACAGAACAAATCTGTGGGTTCAAGGGCTCAAGTTGGCCTGCGTATGAGTTAGGGACTGTGAAGGGTCCCAGTTTTATGGCCGTTCAGATGTCATCTTCTCCAAGGAGCCCTCTACACTATTCTGGCATGAGGACATACTTCTGGCTGAACATGTGTTCTGTACTCTCTTAGGCTTGTTCACAAGTCCTCCTGCAATGAACCAAAGCTGAAGCACATGATATTGACATTCGTGATTGCCTCTGCTTCTCTAGAAACTTCTCCTGGGATAAGGGTTAGCCTGTGCAGGTCCCCAGTCCTAGTTATATGCAGTCACAGAATGGGAGAGATTAAAGAAGGAGGTCAGTGGGCACCTGTGGTTGTTGTGCCTGGCTGAGATCATGCCCCTGTCTCGCTTCTCAGACTATCCATCACTCAGCACCTAGCTGAGGCCTCTGCCCTGCCTCTGTATTGCCCCAGTGTCCCCAACACTCTGCAAGCCCCTCAGCCTATTCCACCTGATGGCTCTGTGAGCCATCAGAGATGTATTTGGTCAACACAGCTCATCACAGCTGCCTGACTGAGGTGGGGCCAAGGTGGCATACCAGAATCCCAAGGAAGTGGAATGGATTGCTGGAAACCTATCAGGAGAAGGTGGGTCTCCAAGACAATTGTGCAATGAACAACACATGTCCAGAGACAGGACCAGAAAGCCCCTTCTGCAAAGAGACACTTCTGGATGGACTTGGAGCCCTGGGGATGCCTGTGGTCCCATGGGCCAGAGGTCTGACCCTGTGGCTTCCTAGTGCCCCAGGATTCATCACCCCGCATACCAGGTCCCCAGGAAGTGGGGATGAGTGAGGATGCAGCTGAGGGGGGCATGTGTACAGGTGGAAAGCTGCGAGATGTCTGGGACAGAATTCTCAGAGCACACTTCTCGATATGGAAGTCAGATCTCCTGGTCCCGCACTGGAGCATCATGGTACAAATGAGGACGGGATGGGCAGGATGCTGGGAAGCCTCCCTGAAGACCCGAGGGCTTGTGCTGTTGATGGTCTCTACACAGGGCAGTGGATGTGGAAGATAGTTTCTGAGTTGGTTGCTAAGTGGATTTGCAGCTTGAAGCTGGGTGCCGTGGAGTAATGTTACCACAGAAATTGGCAAATGCCAATTTTGGATCCCCCCCCCCCCCCCACAAACAATTTTACTCCC